ATATCCATGTATTATCATCTCTATGTTCATATTAGTTGAATATATGATAAACAAACTGAAAGTCTGAGACCATTATTCTAAATCTTTAGGTCAAACATGTAACAAGAAGAACATGCAGAAGACAATAATTTAAAAATGATAGTCTAAATCATATGATCCACAATCGAGGGAATAGAGTTTGGCGCTTTATTCATATTAAGATTGTTATGTTGTCTACTTCCTAACGGAGACGGCTTGTCTTGGTCGTCGAAGGTGGGACTCCATGGGTAGAGACATTGATATAGTTTCTAGTGGTGAAATCTATATTGGGTCGGACCAAAGTTGAATTGTTTTTATTAATAATTCCGTTTGTATAAAAACAATTCACTTTTGACGAATTATATGTGGCCATCTTAATCCTGAGATAGATAATGAACCCGTATGCTTGACTTATATCCTTTGATGTATCAAAAGGAGATATCATGACATTATGTAAAGGTACGCTTACAGATATTAATAAGTTTTTTTTATATTAAAAATAATCTATTAATAAAATTACTAAATGCATTTTTAAAAATGATTTTTGTCTGAGATTGAAAACATTTTCATTTTTATTTTCATATAAAAAATAAAATCACTACACTCATTGTTTCTTTCTTTCTTCTTTCCTGCCTTGTCCAGGAAAAAACCATGAAGCTTCACTTGGCAGTACTAGAAGTAGAACCACGCACTTCCTATGAATTACAGGTTTTGTTTATTATTATTCTTATTATTTTAGTTTTGTACCTACTTGAATATATGTGAATGTGACACTTTCAAACTATATATCACCGGCCAATAAACGTAAAGTTTCTAACGTGGGAGAATTAGCTAGCTAGGATAATGTTAATATCAGGTGCCTAGGTGGTCCGTGGGTTCGAACCGAGACCATCTGAACATTTTTTTGATTGCAATACGAACTAACGTTTGAATTTATTGTTAAATTGTAAATATGAATATGGAATAAAAATCGAATATGTTTAAATACGTGTTGAAAATAAAACAACAAATTATAGAGGCGATCAAATAAAAAAATCTGAACGAGAAAAGATTTTCTCCATCACAAATAGGTTTGAAATGTTCAAATTGAACCCATATTCAAATTGCACTTCATAGTTTGAACCATAAATCAAACACACACTAGTACAAAATAAATGATAAACATTGGGGTTTAGAAGTCGCGCGCAAAAAGGCGACGTCTAATAGTGCTATAGACGTCACCTGATATGTCGGGCGACATTTAAACACTATAAGAGGAGCCTTATGTTAGTGTTTATGTCCTTAGGAATAAATCTAACAACGTTCTTTGAGACATTTTGACTATTAATAATGATTGATTTATTTCATATATCCATGTATTATCATCTCTATGTTCATATTAGTTGAATATATGATAAACAAACTGAAAGTCTGAGACCATTATTCTAAATCTTTAGGTCAAACATGTAACAAGAAGAACATGCAGAAGACAATAATTTAAAAATGATAGTCTAAATCATATGATCCACAATCGAGGGAATAGAGTTTGGCGCTTTATTCATATTAAGATTGTTATGTTGTCTACTTCCTAACGGAGACGGCTTGTCTTGGTCGTCGAAGGTGGGACTCCATGGGTAGAGACATTGATATAGTTTCTAGTGGTGAAATCTATATTGGGTCGGACCAAAGTTGAATTGTTTTTATTAATAATTCCGTTTGTATAAAAACAATTCACTTTTGACGAATTATATGTGGTCATCTTAATCCTGAGATAGATAATGAACCCGTATGCTTGACTTATATCCTTTGATGTATCAAAAGGAGATATCATGACATTATGTAAAGGTACGCTTACAGGTACATTGGGGGTATGACTCGTGTATGCGTAGATTTGTTATTCATAGATAGTGGAATCCATAGCTCCTACAAAGAGTTAATGATATCCTCTTATGCATTATCTATGAATTAGAAAATACGAGCGCTCGACCATTGGACTACTATGTGTTATCTAATGGTTTACCATTTGTAATGGTACGAATAGTGATTTTCTAATGGAGTGGTAATGGAACATAGGATGAATGTAATCGGGAGGGTAAAACAGAACTTGCCCTCAAGTCGATTATGGATATCTTATGGGGATGATACATTAATGTATTGAGTTATGGACGAGAGCTATTCAAAGCTTTGTAAATATGCTATATAAATCGAGAGTGCAGCTCTAGGCTTTTAGTGAAGTAGCACTAGAATTTTATAATAATGAGACGAACTTGTTGGTTTACAAGTAGCGTTGTGATTATAGGAGTTTGATTTATATATGTCCATTGGTCCCTTTGCTAGCCCACGTGATTTCCTATAATGATACGGTGTATTTCCTACATATTGATAACTTGTCTTATTTCCGTAAAAGAGGTTCAAAGTTAATACGAGATTGGTTAATTAATTCATGAGTGATTTATCAGGTGAATTAATTGATAAATTAATTCTAGATAAATTAGTTGAATTAATGTTTCAGGTTGTTTGGTTCATGAGTAATTTATCGGGTGGAATAATTGTTAAATTAAATCTAGATAAATTGGTTGAATTATTATTTTAAGAGTTATTTAATATAGGAAGACTATTATATAACTATTTTGATCAGGCAACTTCTCTATTGGGTTGCTTGAATCAAAATTGAGGCTCTGTGCAAGTTTTCCGTGTTGAAAAACTAGAAAAGCAAGTTTCCCTAGTTCAGACAGGTCGACCGGTCCGGTCGACCGGTTCATGAAGGATAGGTCGACCGGTGAGTTATAACTTCTCTGTCACCGGTCGACTGGTTATAACGTATAGTAACTAGAAAAGCAAGTTTCCCTAGTTCAGACAGGTCGACCGGTTCATGAAGGATAGGTCGACCGGTGATTTATAACTTCTCTGTCACCGGTCGACTGGTTATAACGTATAGCGCATGCTGACGTGGAAAAACTGACTCTATAAGTGAGATAAACTTTAGAAAACCTAATTGTTACGGCAATATGGCTTCCTAAACACTATAAATAGCGTATTAACTCACATTATTCTTTAGATCACTTGAGAAACTTTTTGGGGGCTATTGGCAAAAGATTCCTGAGAGGAAAATTGTTTAATTCTCAAGAACGATTTTTCCTTTGGCTTTCTTATGGGTGGAAGGAGTTCAAGAATACCAAGAGGAGATTAAACGACGTGTGCCCACCCGCACTCCGATTGTGAAAATGAGAATAGCAAAGAACACCAGTTGGTTGAGGGTTTTTCAGTTGCTGTTTCGAACACGTTGATCGGTCATACGTGCTGTTTCTTAAATCTCTAAGGGTATGATTTAGATCTTTAATATTTATGTTATATATCATCATGAACATGTTCTTGATTGGCTTTGGCATTGATTTAAATTTTTTAAAATTCTGTTGCGCACTTGATGCCGTATTTTCCAACAATTGGTATCAGAGCCATGGTTATTTGTTCATGATTATGCTGTGTACATAGATTTGTCATCTAAAAATAACATCTCCTTTATGCTTGAATTGATATTTTAGAGAGTTGGCACTCTAGGGTTTCTATATTTTTTGTTATCATGAATATATGGTGAATGAATGATTAAATAATTATTATTGATTATTATTTATAAATTATCAATGGTTTTTTATTATTTAATTTTTTACCGGTTATGGTTCCTTAGAGTTTAGAATGGTTGTATAGGAATTTGTTCTTGGTAATGTAATTAGATATACGGCCTACCATCGCCGTTAGGGTTTATTTTATTTTCCTTCATAGAAATTTTGAATACCGGAAATGGTATAGGAATTTTTCATGTAAAATTCTTAGAGGAGATTTGTCATAGATCTTGAAGATGGATCTTGAAGACGAAGGTTGTAAAGGTACCTAATTTTTCTTGGTTTATAAAATTATTTTGTATTTTGAATAAATTGAAAAACTGCTTTGATTTCTATTTTTTCAAATTTTGATGACAATTTTTTAAAATTGTCAAAATTCTAGAAAACTCAGAAAATCTAGGTTACTATCGCGTAGACACCGATCGATCTCTTTGGTCAGCCGGTTAGTGTAAGGCGGTCGATTGGTGGAGTATAACTGCTCTGTCACCGGTCGACCGGACCTAATGTAACAGTGCATGATTTTACAGTTTTTTGAGATTTTTTTAAGAAAACATGAAAAATAATTTTATGATAACCAAAATTTGATCGTGATGAAGAATTCAAGGACAACTGAAAAGGTTCAAGATGAAGGATCAATATATGTTTCGATTATTCTTAGTAATCTTTATTTTTTCTTTTCTCTAGGATGGAACCATAATATTATGGTTATTATTATTATGCTTGTTTCTTAGCTTAATTGCTTTGTATGATTGCGTATAATATGATTTGCTATATATGTGATAACATGTTATGTAGAATAGGGAGTGCCGTTCATTAAAATTGTTCATGCATATTTTTAACACAAACCTTGCTTTCTAAAAGATTGAATGGGTGAGGGTTTTTGAAGAAAAGTCCCGTGGCCTCCATCGTTGGTCCGTAGATAACACATGGTGATACCGACCCCTAGGAAGAGATTTATTATGTACCGGTGTGGATCTCTGAGAGGATAATTTATTTGAACATATTTTATGGTTGTACACCCCTAGGTGACAATTATAAAATATGGATCAAATAGTTGAAACGATGGTTATATACTCAAAATTAATTTAATTATTAATCTCCCCGTTAATGGCCAAACAAAACGATTATCAATATATACTGGACAGAGATTGATCTGGATGGTATATATTGATCGGAGGGGATCCGTGTTTCTAATTAAATTTTGTATAATCTCCCCTAAGAGGCTTACAAAATTTTGAGTTGGGAATTATCGTTGTAAGGTTGTGATTTTTTCAAGGCTTTGACACACAAATATATTGGTGGCATTATAATATGTATATATTTTGATTACTAAATATTTATGCAAGTTTTCTTATAGTATATGAATGTTTATTGTAGATCAAAATGTATGCTAGCGCATTATCATCGATACTTAATAAACATACTTTAACTGACGAGAATTTTACTGATTGGAAAAGGAACCTAAATATTGTCCTAACCTTTGAGAAACTAAATTTCATACTGAACACACCTTGTCCTCCGGAGCCACTTGTTGATGCTCCTAATGAGATTTTCCTAGCATATCAATGCTGGAAGGACTCTAACGATATGGCTCGCTGTTATATGATGGCGAGCATGTCCACTGTGCTTCAAGTACAACATGAAGATTACAAAACTGCTCGTCAGATTATGGATAATCTTGAGGACATGTTCGGCGGCCAAGCCGTTAAAAACGTCGGGAAGCCCTAAGTAACCTCATTAATTGCAGACAGAAGGTTGGGTCTTCCATAAAGGAACATATGCTGAAGGTGATGGGTTATTTGGCTGACGCTCAGACCAATGGGGCCGACATCGATACTGAGTCTTAATTGACCATGATCTTTGAGACTTTGTCGAAGGAATATATTCCGTTTAGGGCAACGTTCAATTTGAGCACTAAGTAAAATATAACCCTGACAGAGTTGATGCAAGAACTCTAAAAGTTCGAGCAGATGATCAATGGGTTAACTATTGTGGATTCCAACTTGGTTGAGGCATCTTCCTCCAAACCCTCTTCAGGGAATGGAAAGAAGAAGCAAGGGACCAAAAATGAGAGTTCTTCAGTTCTGCCAAACAAGGGCAAGAATAAGAAGAAGAAGAAGAACTCGAAAAAGCTCAAATGCTTTCATTGCGGGAAGGTGGGGCACATGAAGAAGAATTGCAAGGACTACCTAGCCTCTAAAGGCAAAGGAGGTGAATGTGATCTTTTGATTGTGGAAGCATGTCTAGTTAAGGAATCTAGTGACAACTGGGTCATAGATTCAGGAGCAACTAATCATGTGTGTGTTTCTCTGCAAGGGTTTAAGCAAACGAGAAGTCTTCTTAATGAAACCTAAACGTCGAGGATGGATGATGGAACTCTAGTGTTAGTTGAAGTAGTGGGAGACGTCTATCTTTACTTTGATAGTTATAGGAATTTATTTTTGCGAGACTATTTTTATGTTCCTCAATTTAAGAGGAATCTTATTTCTGTTGCTTATTTATTTAAGGATTCTTATTCAGTTTCTTTTAATTATAAAGTTGTGATTCGTAAAAATAAGTTTTTAATCTGTGATGAATGGATGTAAAATAATCTATATTTTATCAAACCTAAGATGGACTCACTGCTAAACACTGAAATTGTTAATAACTCTAAAAGGTTTAAAACTTCTCACTCTAATGAGATAGATGTGTGGCATTTGCGACTTGGTCACATTAGCCTTAACAGGATACAAAGGTTAGTAAAGGATAGACCTTTAAGTTCTTTAAAGGTTAGGTCCTTACCCCAATGTGAGTCTTGTTTGGAGGGCAAAATGACTAAAAGACCTTTTGGGTCTAAGGGCAATATGGCTGAAGAGGTTCTTGAACTTGTGCATAGTGATATTTATGGTCCCATGAACATCAAGGCAGGAGGAGGGTATGAGTATTACGTCACTTTTATCGATGATTACTCAAGATATGGTTATGTGTACCTAATGCACAACAAAAGTGAAACTTTTGAGAAATTCAGTGAGTTTAGGGCTGAAGTGGAAAAGCAATTGGTTAAACCCATAAATATACTTTGATCTGATCGAGGTGGAGAATACATCTCTGATGAGTTTACTAGATATCTATTAGAAAATGGGATTCTATCCCATTTGACTGCACCTAGCACTCCAGAGAGAATGGTGTAGTTGAGAGAAGAAATAGGACCTTGTTGGACATGGTACGATCTATGATGAGTTATTCGACATTGCCTATATCTTTATGGGAATATGCTTTACAAACTGCATGTTATCATCTGAACAACGTGTCCACAAAGCCGGTTCCTAAAACTCCTTACGAGTTGTGGACGGGCATGAAGACATCCTTGAACCATATTTGCATATGGGGATGTCCTGCACATGTCCTGGACAAGGAAGCGAACAAGTTGGAAGCACGTTCAGAAGTGTGCATTTTTGTAGGTTATCCGAGAGGGACGAAAGAGGGTTATTTCTATAACCCCAAGGAAAATAAAGTCGTGGTTTCTACGAATGCAACATTCCTTGATGAAAGTTACATGAATGACTTTAAGCCTCGTAGCAAAGTGGTACTTGAGGAAATGTCGAGTGACTTGGTCATACCTACAGTTCCTTTGGAAACTGATCGAATCAGGGTAGAAAAGAAAACCCAACAACAACTTAAGGGGCTTCGGCGTAGTGGGAGGATTAAACATGAACCTGAGAGATTCATAGCTAATGGGGAGACCTTTTTGGCAGAACCTTTGGAACATGACAGAGATCCTTGTACTTACAAAGAAGTGATGTAGGATGATGATGTAAACCTCTGAACATAAGTCATGAAAGCTGAGATGGAATCTATGGATTTTAATCAAGTCTGGGAACTTGTAGATCTTCCTAATGAGATTAAGCCCATTAGGTGTAAATGGGTCTACAAGAGAAAGAGAAATACAGAAGGAAAGGTCAAAACCTATAAGGCTAGACTGGTAGCTAAGGGATACACGCAAAAAGAGGGAATTGACTGCCAGAAAACCTTTTTGCCTGTAGCCATGCTTAAGTCCATCCGCATTCTCTTATCCATTGCGGCTGCTCTCGACTACGAGATCTGACAAATGGATGTCAAGACGGCGTTCTTGAATGGCAATCTTGAGGAAAGTATCTATATGGTACAACTAGAAGGTTTTGGGGCTAAGGGACAAGAGGGGAAAGTTTGCAAGTTGCTAAAATCCATTTATGGATTAAAGCAAGCTTCCCGTTCTTAGAATAAAAGATTTGACCAAGTGGTCAAGACTTTTAGATTCCAACAGAATATGGATGAACCTTGCGTTTATAAGCATATTCAAGATGAGAAAGTTATTTTTCTACTATTATATGTTGATGACATTCTACTCATTGTCAATGATGTAGGGGTTTTGTCATTAGTCAAATTTGGCTTACCAAATAGTTTGACATGAAGGACTTAGGAGAAGCTAATTATGTTCTGCGCATTCAGATCTTAAGAGATTGAAAGAACAAAATGATAGCTATCTCTCAAGCTTCATACATAGATAAAATTCTCGAGAAGTATGCAATGCAGAATACCAAGAAAGGTGGGCAACCATATAGGTCTGGAATTAGTCTTTCGAACAATGATTATCCCAAGACATCTGAGGAAAGCGAATACATGGCAAAGGTACCCTATGCTTCGGCGGTTGGGGAGGCCTTCAAGAAGCATGTTGAGGCTATGAGGATGCGTAACATGTCACATTTACTCACTTAAGTGCAAGTGGAAGATTGTTAGTGTATATGCCATTAGGAATAAATGTAACAATGTTCTTTGAGACATTTTGACTATTAATAAAGATTGATTTATTTTATATATCCATGTATTATCCTCTTTATGTTCATATTAGTTGAATGTATGATAATCAAACTGAAAGTCTAAGACTGTCATTACAAATCTTTAGGTCATGTATGTAATAAGAAGAACATGCGGAAGACAGGAATCTAAAGATGATGGTGTTGGAAAATAATGGCATCGAGTGCGCAGCGGAATTTAAAAAATTTAATCAACGTCAAAGCCAACCAAGAACATGTTCATGATGCTATATAACATAAATACTAAAGATCTAAATCATACCTTTTAAGATTTAGGAAACTGCACGTCTGACAGATCAAAGCGTTCCAAACAACAACCGGAAGAGCCTCAACCAACTGGTCTTCTTTGCTATTCTCGTTTCCACGATCGGAGTACGGGTGGGCACACGTCGTTCAATCTCCTCTTGGTATTCTTGAACTCCTTCCAATCACAAGAGAGCCAAACAAAAAATTGTTCTTGAGAATTAAACAATTTTTCCTTTCAGGAATATTTTATCAATAGCCTCCAAAAAGTCTCTCAAGTGATCTAATGAATAAAGTAACTTAATAGGCTATTTATAGTGTTTAGGAAGTCATACTTCCGTAATAATTAGGTTTCTCAAAGTTCTAATCGCATCCAGAGTCAATTTTGTCACGTCAGCATGCATTTTCCATTACAACCGGTCGACCGGTGACAAAGACGTTATAACTCACCGGTTGACCGGACCGGTCGACCTGTTTGCACTGACGAAAGTTGTTTTCCTAGTTTTTCAACACGGGAAACTTGCATAGAGCCTCAGTTTTGATTCAAGTAACCCAATAAAGAAATTGCCTGATCAAAACAGTCATATAATAGTCTTCCTATATTAAA